AACACAAAAGGTGAGAAAAATATCACAGTTACACTTTTTGAAGCTGTGTGCACAGCTGGTTATTTTTTAAAAACCTCTTAACAGCAGCTTTATCTTTTCCACCCTTGGCTCATCCGTTTGTACAAAATCGATATTCAAAATCGAAAACCCCAGAAGTTACAAGAAAATACAAAGACTATATTTTATCTACACACATTGAAACAATATCATCAGTTAAACTCACATTTTTTTATGAGTAAAATATTCTCTCCACTGATCAATATTTCTTCAGTATGTAATTTTAATTACAACTCTGATTGTAGCGCATCGTTGTAATGTGATAATATCACCAGAAGGTGATGGTAACACACCTACAATGTGTTTGTTGAGATGTTTGATTCCACCAATGGAGGGAGTTTCAGTTTGTTCCACGACTGCATTTCACTCACTGCCTCTGTTTGTATCTCTGTCACTGCAGGACCAACATGGAGCGAGAAGTCAGCGCTCTCAGGAGGCCGACAAACCTCACAGAAGAAAGGGAGAGAAAACCTACAGCTGTGACTTGTGTGGGAAGAATTTTACCCGGGCTGAAAGCCTAAAAAGACACGGACTCATCCACAGTGGAGTTAAAGCATACAGCTGTGAGTTGTGTGGAAAGTCTTTTACCCTGGCTGAAAGCTTAAAAAAGCACCAAGTCATCCACAGTGGAGTGAAAGCGTACAGCTGTGATTTCTGTGGAAATTCTTTTACCCAGGCTCAAAGCTTAAAAAAACATCAACTCATCCACAGTGGAGTGAAAGCGTACAGCTGTGATTTGTGTGGAAATTCATTTACCCAGGCTCAAAGCTTAAAAGCACACCAAGTCGTACACAGTGGAGTTAAACCTTACAGCTGTGACTTGTGTGGAAAGTCTTTTACCCAGGCTGGAAGTTTAAAAACACACAAACTGATCCACAGTGGAGTTAAACCTTACAGCTGTGAATTCTGTGGAAAGTCTTTTACGAAGGCTGGAGGCTTACAAATACACCAAGTCACCCACAGTGGATTTAAACCTTACAGCTGTGACATGTGTGGAAAGTCTTTTACCCAGGCTGGAGGCTTAAAAGCACATCAATTCATCCACAGTGGATTTAAACCTTACAGCTGTGACTTCTGTGGAAAGTGTTTTACCCAGGCTCAAAACTTAAAAATACACCAAGTCATCCACAGTGGAGTTAAAGCTTACAGCTGTGACTTGTGTGGAAAGTCTTTTAACCTGTCTCAAAACTTAAAAAAACATAGACTCATCCACAGTGGAATTAAGGCGTACAGCTGCAACTTTTGTGAAAAAACTTTCATTGACAAGCACTACCGAAATATTCATCTACGGATTCACACTGGAAATGATGTTTCCTGCTGTGATCAGTGTGGGAAACTGTTTACAACAGGTGCACAGTTACGACGACACATGTTTAGCCACACTGTGGGGAGACCTTATAAATGTGACCTGTGTGAGAAGACTTTTAAATCTCCACATCACCTGAAAAGCCACCAACAGATCCACACCAGAAAGTAACTCTACTAGTGCAGTTACTTTGAGGTGTGTATTTAGTTGTTATCTTGTTATTTTAACCTGAGTGTTTGGAACAAGTCTGATCAGTAAACTTATGGAGTTATACTGAATGAACTGTTTGGAAAAATGAAGAGTCGTTTTCGCTCAGTAAGCTGAGTGTTAAAATGTAAACAGTAAAATGTAATTGGACGTTGGCAGAGATGCTTTTTATTTCAGGCAACGTTCAGGATAAAAATGTTGAAGGAATTCCCTGACTTACAATGTCTTTGTTTAGAAGTGGAAAAGGTTTTCTTTCCCACCTCTGTGGTGGGAAAGAGTTTCTCTGTGACCTTTGTGGAAAAACTTCCAATCAATTATGGGACCTAAAACCACATCAACGTAGCCACACTGGAGTCAAAATGAACTACCGCAAAGAATGTGGGAGAGGCTTCCACACACCAAGTACATTAAAATCCACGAACTCTTCCACAGTGGGGCCAAAAAGCACTGTGACCAGTTTGGGTCATCCTTCACCACTGGACATGAGCTTAAAGAACAAGCATAAGGGAATCCACACAGGAGAGACACCATACAAGTGCAGACACTGCGACAAAAGCTTCTCACTATTCAAATTCAAATTTTATTTGTCACACACACAACCATACACAGTGTGACATGAGGTGAAATGGTTTTAGCTGTGCAATGCCATTAAATGACAGTGGTTTTACAGTATTTACAATTTACAGGTTATCGTAACAAACATGAACGTACACACATGGAAGTGAACTTCAGCTGTGACCAGTGTGACAAGAGCTTCA